TTAACGCTGTGTAACACCGTCAACCTTCATCTGGGCGGTCGGAAGGCCATCGTCAGCACCGATGTACTCCACGTCATTCGCCTTCTACGGCTCCTGCCGTATCGTGTCGCCATGTTGCACAAGGCTCACGCGCGCTGACACCACACCACCAGGCGCGCATACATCCCCTCCTCGAGCGGTGCGCCGTGCGTTAAGTTGCCTCATTGCCTCTTCCCGCTGCTGGCGACGCGCTTCTCGTCGCTCGTCGTCAACACGCCACTGTTCTTCTTCGGCCACTCGTTCAGCACTACGCCGATGCTACCTGGCCCGCTTAGCCTTCACCCGCTTTGCTGGATAGCGTGCCTTTTGTCGCGCCAGTCATACCTGGGCGATGCCGCCGCCTTCGTCACTCGTCTCGTCGTCCATCGCTTTGGGATCGGTCACGGCGTTACCCTCCGCGCCTCCTCCAGACCGACTCTGCGCGTCTTCGGTTCTCCGTCGTTCGCCGTCGTCACCATTCAGTCGTCCTTGGCCCCCACCCCTTGCCATGGGCTCCACTTCTGTAATGGCACGAACAAACCGTGTCAACGCCCTTGCAGACTCACGTAGCGCTTCGCGCGCTCGTCGTCTTTCTGTAACGCGTCCGCTTCATGCACTTCATCACGGCGTCCACGCTGGTGTTCGTACCCATTGTCTTGTCCTTCTCGTCCTCCGTCGACGTCACTTGCGCATCGTCGACCACTCCATCCTCGCTGGACTACCTGTGCTTTCCAACACTTGGTTCTTCTCACGCTGGGATCGTCACCAGTCCTCACCGAACGCTGTGGTCCCCTCACTGCGTCCGCTACTAGTTTTCCACCGGCTTAGTCAGTGTCTGACTTCGCTTCATGCGCTCGTCGTTGCGCGCCTTAGCTTCCGTGTTCGTACTCTCTCTCGCTAAGTGACCCAGTTCCTTGCACGCAAAACAGCTCGGCTCGTTCGGGCATGCCGCCGACCAATGGCCTAGCTGGCCGCAGTTTAAGCACGGGTACGGGCCAGGGCTCGCGCTCTTACTCGGCTGCGTCTTCTCTGTCTGTCGCCCCGACGGCTGCGCCTGCTTCACAACCGCTTTCAGTTTCTTTCGTGCGGGCTGCACGCCCGACTCGTCACCGCTGTCGTCCGTGTCGCGCGCACCGCGCCACTATCTCTCCGACTTCCTCGCACTGCTCCGTTCACCGGCCTGCTGGGGTGTCGCCGCTCTCTTTGCTCAGCTTTGGTCTCCACCAAGTACTTCCCGTTCTACACATACCCAGGTGGCACATCCCTTGTGCCAGAGAGGTCATTCCACACACCCTGAGGGTTCGTGAAGAGCGCTACAGCTCTACCGCCCATCCATCATCGCTGTGTGGTTTGTCGCCGTGATACCAGACGGCAGACCAGCACCACCAATTCCGGGGATGACCATCGTCTGACCAATCGTTCCCGCCATCGGGATGAGGTACGGGCTTGGCGCAGTTGCCCATGCGTGCCCGATGTTCTGCATTCCCTGCGACGTTCTCCATTGGGTCGTCGATCTTGGTGGCCTTTGCCACAGCCCTCTCCAGCGTCTTCGGCTTTGGTGACTGCCACACAAGCTTCTTAGTCGTCTTGTCCAAGCACCGGTAGAGCTGGGCGAGCAGGACGCGCTTCCGCACCTTGTTCTTGCCGATCACCTCGCGCAGTGCCGCCGCGAAGTCCGCGTACGTCTCACCGGGCATCTTGCGGCTCATGCTCACCCGCCACTCGGCGGCCGACTTGTCCAGGCTCTCGCCGTAGCGTCTCAGTAACGCCTTCTTCAGGTACCGCCACGTTCGGCTATGATCCGTCAACCTGCGGTCCATATTGACCGACCATCATGCTGCGTTCTCCATCTGTTTGTTCCCCAGGATTAAGTACAGCGATTCAGGTCGACACATACAGACAACGACGGTGAAACTCAACCCCCCGTAGACATACATTTTCAAGTCATTTTTAGAAAGGCCAACAAGACAAAAAAAAACTCGACTCCTTTCGTGGTATCACCTGCGATTGGTCAAAATTAAACCGACCCAACAGTTTATTAAAAGTCGAAAAAACAATTTAAACAAACACCGTTGAAAAGCAAAAACATGTATTATTTTGCTCTACACCATCACGACAGGGTGTTTTGGGATTGCCTTTTCAAAGCTTTTAATAACACATTCCGTAGATATGTTTTCCCACGCTCTAATTGTGCGTGTTACGGCAGCCAGACGCTTTTCCTTCGCGGTTCTTGTAGCTGCCACCTTCTCTCGTAGCCATTCAGCTGTCAACTTTTTCTTGAGTGGCCCCATAACGCCCACGTCAAGGGGCTGACTCACAGAGGTGCTGTTAGCAGGCACGGGGACCACAATTGCAGAGGTCTTTTCCGCCACAACGCTCTGACCGGCTTCGGAAATATGCGAGTCAAAATTGTCCAGCAAGAGGATTGACGGGGCATCAATCTCGTACTTTAGCAAGTTCAAAACGTACGTTTGCCACACTGTGGCGTCCATCCAGCCATTTTCTTGGACGGTGTACACGTGGCCTGCAGGATACGTCGGAAGTTCATCCGTCTCCACAGTCCCGCCCGGCATTCCTCGTAGTATAAACAGTATTGGTAGTTTTTTTCCCTAAAATATTAATAAGTTAGTTTAAACATAATAAAATCATTAAATCAATAAACAAAACTTACCATCCGCTCTAATGGTGAGAACTGCAGTGAGTCTACCAGAGTTTTTCTGCGTGTGCTTCACTTTAGCGGAGCCACGACGGCCTTTGAGGGCCCAAATCTTGTGGGGTGGGGTGTCAAAATATATTGCTGTCTCGTCGACATTGTATATGGCGGATTACTGGAAGTGAGAATGCTGTTTCCAAAACTCTATGGCAAAGTTCAAATGGATTTCTGTAGTGCATCTTCATCCTTTTTAGTAAATTGCGGTTTCTAAACAGAAAAACCATGGCTATAACATTAAGAAAAATATGTAAGCAATACATATTGATTAAAAACACAAATAAAATAGGATAATTGCTAAAACGTTTATTTAAACCAACATATTGGAAAACGAGATGCTTACCGAGCTGCAAACCGCTGGCACATACGCATCAACGCGCTCAATGCGCGCTCAGGAGATGATTTATCGGCTAAATACTGCTCCAGCCAAGCCCCCTGCTCCATCTTCATATACTCGATCATGCCTCCAGTACACAAATACTATATATACACGTTAGAATCTGCAATAAATAATATAACAAAACAAATTTACCTCTTCATCCCGACGGACGTCTTTCATGAAGGTGACCAATTCGTGCTCAAATGTGATTTTAGTCTTTGCGCCTTGTCCTTTTGTCGTTCTGCTAGTTTGAGGTCCCTTAAACTCAAACAGCAGCTTTGCCTTCTTTCTCCAGCCCTTCAACGTACCTAATGGAATATTAAGCGCCCAAGCGGTAGGCTTACATCCCTCCAGAGCCACCCGCTCGAGCGCTTCCCGTCTCTGCTTGACGGTGTAGCTGTTCTGCCGACGACGTTCGTCCATCACTTCGCAGAAACAGCAATAGCGTGATTGTTTAAACGGCGCCAGCATGGCGTGCCGTCCAGCAATATATTTGAAAGTATATTATTGGCTAAAATTACAAATAACATTTTTACTTGAGTTTAAAGTTGCACTGTAAGGGGGGGGGTCGAGTTTTGTGGGGGGTTGAGTTTCACCGTCGTTGTCTGTACACCTTGGGCGATGGAGTGAAGGTGGGCGGCTCCAGGTCCTTTACGCTCTTCCGCTACGGCTGCCGCTCGCATCTTTAGTGCTGCTTGCGCCGCCCGTCACGTCCCTACCGCTCATCACGCCGTTGCCGTCCACGGCGTCCACGGCGTTCTCGTCGGCCACGGTGCCGTCGTGCTCTGTCCGACTCACTGTCGGAGCTGGATAAGCTTTCCTCATCGCTGTCCCCGCTGCTCTCATTCTCGTTCGAGCTGCTCTCGTCGCTCGAGCTGTCGTCGTCACTGCTAAGGAACTCCTCGGTAGCGGTGTCGTCATCATCGTCATCGCTGTCGGCACTACCGTTAGCATCCCCAGTTCCATTACCATCATCGCCACCGCCACCGCCATCGTCGTCCGAAGGATCCGATGCATGGCCATGGACCACACCCCGTACTGCTCTTCTTCCGTCGCTGCTCGAACCATTGCCGTCGTCCCGCTTCGTCGATCAGCACGACCGTGGCGACGTCGTACATCTGCATCGACGTCGCGTCGTTGCTCGGGATGACGCCCACCGCGGTCATCGTCTTCGGTTGCAGGCTGAAGTCGCACCACCATCGCTCTCAGCTCATTTATGGCTGTGGCAATCGCCGTTACATCAAGCTGAGGGGTCGCCACTAATCCTTCCGTGCCACTGTCGTTCGCGAGTCGTCACCATCCTGAGACGCCTCTTCACGCCGATGCAGCTCTTCCCCACGGTGTGCCGGAACCGCTTCGTGTGCCGTACGGTACTTCTCGCCTTCGTTAGTGCTGGCTTCCCCGTGTCCAGCGTCACAGCCACCGTACGCGGTCCATCGTTGTGTGACCTGGTCACAGCACCTGTGGGCAGCTCGTTCTCCGCGTCACTCCGTCAGTCATCACTGTTGCTTGACGCACTTCGTCGTGTCAACCTCGCCTTGCACTTACCGGGGACTCTCGGCGAAGCCCATGAAGATGAAGACCTTGTCATAGTTCTTGTAATCGTCATCTTTGCTCGTTGCTCATTCGTATTCTTGTGCTGAGGCCCCTGTATGACCACCATGTAACGGGCCAATTATCTCGTCCGGCCGTGAGGCGGGTCGTCGCTCCACAGTGCTGCGCTACGGCGTCCGCCCTCACTTAAACTACGTAGCTTTACGTAATAATAAACACCACTGGTCGACAGGATCCACTTAACCCTGCGCCGGAACTTTCACCACTTGTGCCCATTCCTACTTTATTAATCAACAATAAGATGCTTTAGCCAGCTGCTAATGCAACCTACACACTTAACTAGGACTCGTCCTTGGACAACGCGCACGCTGGATTCCCTGTCCGTGCACTCGCCGCCCTTGTACTCGCGCCAGGACTCAAGCGATGCACACTGGATCCCCCGTCAATGCACACCACCAACAACAAGCTCAACGACGGGCTGGAATCTCTCGTCAGCACGCGTCGCCTCTCCCCAACCAACAAGCTAAACGACGGGCTGAATTCCCTGTCAGCACACGCCGCCTCGCCTCAACTCTTGCGACCTCCCGATCGCGCACTACCAGCTTCCGCAGTCCACACACCCTTGCTCAGTACCGAGCGGATTCGATTGCTCTCCCCTGAGCAGAGTCACTTGCTCTCTACTGAGCAGAGCCGCTTGATAACGCTGCAGCTGAATGAGATAATCACGGCGCTTAAGCTTGTTCTGCGCAGTGTTCATGTACTGGGGCTCTTTGTGGAATTGCTTCATGGTGCTTAGAGCAGCATCGAGGTGGTTTTTCACGGTTTGAGGGCGCACCGTTACACAAAGCGATGTCTCGAGCATGTCCGCAAGCTGCCGTAGCGTGAGGTCGGGGTCAGTGGCGAGCTGATCTTGTGGGAACTTCACGCATGCTGGGGTCATCTTTTGCGCGGTTTTTCCACCACGAGGCGCCGGGCTGATCACGTCCTCAAAGTTGGGGTAGCGCTGTACCCAATTGCAAGCAGTGCTGAGATTCACGTTGTTGTCTCCAGCGACAGCTTCCCAGTCGAGACCATTACGGGCAGCCTCGAGCACGCGAAGCTTCGTGTAGAGCGTGTAGCGGCGATACTTAGTCGGCATCAGCGTCGAAGGGAGAAAATGGAGGAATGAGACCGAAACGAGAAGCCTTGAGGCGGGGAAGCTCTCGCTAGAGCATGTTGAAGCTCGTGAATTCCCCTTTGGGCTCGGTTTGAGGCTGCTTATTGGCGGAACCAAAGAGATCGCGTGCGCATTGGCGGAATGAAGGAATGCAGAGCGTGTGAAGGCGCGAAGCCTACGTGCGCTGCCTGCATACGCAGTCATTCACTGCGCTAACGAATGATCTTCAAGTATGCATATTGATAGGTTGCGCCAATTTGCCTTTGCTCTTCATCAATTCGCTTTTGTTGTTGGCCAAACTGCTCTCGCACTTGGCTAATACCATTTGCTCTTGGCCTTATTGGACTGGAAAAGGTGTAGTATATGGGACCACGGTGGCTAACCCCTGGCCTCGTGTGAACCACTCAAGTACATGTCTACACCTGATTGGTCAACAAGTGAGTCTGGCTCCTCACTATCAACCGATCAGATGATGCACACGCTACCCATGTGCCACTTTGCCTACTTATGTAGTATTAATAACTAAAGAAATATCTACCTACTTATGTAATTAGAGCTGGGCCCATTGCAAACGATGGATGCTCCTGGGTGTCGATGTCGCAGACCACCCTGTACGCCGGCGGCGGAAGAGAATTGCCGCTCGCCAAAAACATTTCTTCGTGACGTGGAAGTGTCGCCCCGACGCAAGAGTGACCAGTGCCGGTATGATCATCATTATCAACGTTCTGCGAGAAATAATATATAGTCGCTGACGATACTTTAGCCAGGTCCGAGAGGAAGGTTAACTCACGCGCATAGTCGTCCAACCCGGTATCGGCGGCTGGGTGTTGATACATCGCGTCCAACTCCAAGTTGACATTCCCCTCAGCTGTCATTACCGGAATCGTCGACACACAGGCAGCGTCGAGTGCTGCGGCACGCGCTGCTCTGGATGTCGACGCCATCTTCAGGGGCTTCGACCCGATCACTAGGCATACCACCAAGCGGCAGACGTTAGCGCACACCGCAGTTGTCGGTTCATCGACATCGCTGTTTCTTCGAAGGATTTCCGTCGGTGTCGGGTACAATGGTTAATTCACGGGCGATGGTTGGACAGCCGCCCAATGATCATAATGAGCCCATTCTTGCTCGAGAAGTGCGAGATATCTCGCGGCTTCGAGCGTCAGAATATTTCAGTCCTTGTATCGTCGGGATTCAGGGCGGACGCAGCCGCTCAGGCGGGGTAAGTCCCCATGGGATAATCCGCACTGCAAAGTCCGTGAGAAAGTAACACGTCACGTTCCGGTCTGTAACATTCGTCTGTCGAACGTTTACGATCTCGCCTCGGCGATTCTTCAGACGCGTCGGGAACAATGGGTCGGTCCTCCGAACCCACCGTTGATGCTTTCGTCTCGCGGGCAAGGCTTTTCCAAGGCGTAATCGAAACAATCATGCGCCTCGGCTCGAAGTCCTCAAGGGTTCCCTCCTGGAATTTGTCGTTGCCTACGAGATTTTCTTTCAACGCCTTAGATTTCAGCAACGACAACATAATCGCACCCGGCAGCATCGCCGTAGAGCGATATAAGTCCTGTCGAACCCTCATGCAATCCATGCCGAAAAAAACGTCGACTCTAGCGCTATGTGTCGGCACCCAGATCTCGAATTCGTAGACAAGCCGACGCTCTAGCGTCACTTTCACAGCCACGCGACGTTTCGTCAACAGCGAGCCCTTACCGATTCCCTGGACATCTATTGTTCGTCCTGGTTGGGTATGGACAGCAGTCGATGTCGCTTCGCGAAAGTCTCGGAGACGACGCTCCCTTTACTCCCGGTTTGTAGCACGATCAGCACCACTCACCATCGCACGCATTCGCACGCGTCTGCGCCGACCACCACCGCATGGATTCACCGGCTATCGGTCGAATCACCTTGGGCTCTCGTCGCGTCGCCAACGGTTCTCTCACCATCGCGCTCGCAAGCCGAGTATCGACGTTCCTTCTACTAGCTTCGTAGTCACCATTATCATTTTCTCCGCCATCGGTGAAGGTTCCGTCGTTATTGTCTCCATTTTATGTCGTATTCACACTCTCCAAGTAATCATCCGGTCATTCACCATTCTTCAAAAAAGTGAAAATACACATCGCCTCCACCGGGCTTTGGTCAGCTGTAGTAGCCCATTAGGGCCAAAACCAGTCATTGTTGGTAGTCGCGGCGAATATGGCGCTCGTAGTCACATCGTTTCCGACGGCTCCCTCGATCTTGGTAGAGTATGCCTTCGCTTCGTCCGCGGGACGGAGTCGCTGCGCTTGCTCGGTTCACCTTCGTACCGGAGCTGTTGAATCGCACCTCGGGCGATGAGTCGCTCTTCATCCTTGAGGAAATCGTTCAGCACGACACCTAACTCTCAGATGTTGTTCAGCCGCAGTTGGCCAAGATCGCGCGTCAGCCAATCACCGCCGCACGTGAGAAGTAACTGTTCCACGTGACTCTTGCGTCGCGTTGCCTCTTTTTGACCTAAAGTCGAGCGGTGTGTGCGTATCCATCAAGGCGATTTAAGTAACCGCAGTCGTGCTCTTTTCGCTTGCGCGTCGTAGAATAGTAGCGAGCTGCCGGAGGCTGTTTGTACCTCGAACAGTTGTAGTCGAGGAAACCTCATCCGGAAGTTGTGCTGTCGCACGAGACAAATCTAGCCTAAAACCAGCCAGTAACGTGAAAATACAGCACTACCTCAACACCCGCACTATGGTCCATCACCCACGCTTTAAATCGTAAACACGCTTCCATCCAAGCGTAATTTTTTTACGATAGGTCGGCGAGAGGTTCCTTGTTTCCGCGGCGTAAATCCTTGCACCTTCATGTACCGGCCATGGTCCGGTACATCACGGACACGCCGTTTCGTTGCCTAATTTGTTGAAATTACGATCAGCTTCGCTCCAGTGTCCAACAGATTTCTTGTTCTCAAAAAAAATACAGCTCCTTGGACTAGAGGGCTCATCCTGACACGTCGGTCAAACTTCCTGGAAGACCACCACCCCAATCGTTCGCCCGGCAACAGCCGTAGCGTCTTGGCGAGCTTACGCTTTCCCGGCTTCTGCTGCTCTGCTCTTGACATCTAACCCAATCATCACTATTTTCACCTTTACTAAAGCTTGCGCCTCTCTCATTTTCAAAGTCCTTCGAATTTACTTTCTTCCCATCACAGCCCTCTTCGGTATCTGGTAATTCTGTGGTGTTTTCCGGAAGTTGAAGTAACACCAAACACCAAGCAGGGCAGGTGGCAAGCCTGCGGGAAACTTGTAGCCTAGTGTATTGATGTAGGCTATTGCTAGCAGATTGTAGAGTGAGAGGATAAGTTAGTCGTCACCAACCCTCCGTCTTCAATGAACTGTACAGCTCTGGTGCTGGTGACAGCATCAAAGGTAACATGCAAGACAGCCAGAGATTCCACTTGGATCACTGGCGGTCTGTCCTACAAGATCCATGAATATTTAGCCAGGTAGAGGATACTAACTTGGACGCGCCAGAGTCAGGCACCTCTCCGTCTGTGATAAACCTGGATGCACCAGGTTGCTCACTGTCTAGTCGGCAGCTTGATGGCAGTGGAATCCGGCTTGATACCTGTGATTCACCACACAGCCCCCAAAGCTTGATTCCGCGGCCGAACTTCGACTACCCCTATTATAGCCTTGGCAGTCAGATCTATGTCTGGCCCTGGTCGATCATGGAGCAGCTCTTCGCTTCAGCCTTGGATGTTTACTCTCTCGTGCTGGTGAGGGTCACCTGTCTGCTGACTCCAGCAGTTCGTGAGCGAGTACGTCTACTCACACTTTCACCAGTGTTTGTAGTCGGTTGGTTGTTGTCAGATCCAAGTTCAACCCCTGTCATCTGTGGCACAACTGCAGCGGGGAGACTTCTATCGGGTATCTGAACATTTGTTGTTAAACGCAGCGGTCGTCGACGCCTGGACCTCCGGCGACTCTTGTCCGTCGGCCTTACCGTCTCTGTCGCTACTGTCCGTCCTTGTTGAGCTGTTTCTCCAGCCGTGGTCGCGCGCTGCCAGTGTGCCTTGAGCTCTTGATCAGCAGCAGCCACGTACTGGTTCACTAGGATGGTAACGTCCCTAGCCAAACTGGCCAGTGGTTCATAGGAGTCCTCAATGGCCTCGAGTCCTTTCCATTGAACCAAGATTTCAAAATCACTAATTGCAGTGTTCCACCTGTGGCTCTTGAACTTCTCGATCGCCAAGACGATTCCCTGCGACGAGATGTGTTCCAGGAGCTCCTCGGTGACGTCCAGACTGGAGTCTGCATAGAACGTCAGTCTTGAGGCATGGACATCCAACACAGCCCCGGTGATGAGGTGTTTGATTGAGAATGAATGTGCGTCAGCACGTTCAACGCGATATGGTCCCACCCACGTCACAAACAACTTATTACTCCTCTTCTCGTCCACCCTCGAGCGTAGAACATAGTCGCCTTCCGTAAAATTCACAATATTCTCACCACGTTCTCGTTTCTTGTTCAGCATCCTTTGCTTCATGCGTTGATCCTCAACCACCTTATGCATGGCTTGTATGCTGTTGCGCAGGTCATCGAGAAAACCATTGATCTTGTCACTTGTGGGCACCTCCTTGAACTCCCCAGTACTAGGCAGGTAAAATTCTCGGAGAGGTGTCGGGCACGGTAATCCAGTAAATAACTCAACGGGGGCTCTATTACCCAACGATGGCACTGCTGTGTGGTTGAGGCTCGATTGTACCATTGGTATCAAGTAGACCCAGTCGCGGTGAGCAATCTTGTACTCCAGGATCATTGTTCGAATCACTTGGAGGATGTCTCTGTTTACGCGCTCTACCGACCCGTTGATCCACGGGCAATAGGCAGGCGTGAACTCCTGCTGCGCTCGCAGGCGGCGTGAAAGCTCACTCACCACTTCGTTTTTGAAATGGGAGCCTTGATCTGAAATCCATTTCGGTGGCAGTCCAAACCGAGAATGCCAATCAA